ATAAGCCTTAAGTAAATAGGATAAATGGATATATGTGAAACAAAAATTTGTACATGGCGGTATTCGAACTCAAAACTTGCAGATTACAAGTCAAATTTAACCCCTTAGCCATCGGCTCTTGGTAATGTATGGTTATGGGTATTGATAACTTATTACATCGATATTGTTGCGACATAAACATGTCTATATATTAATCACTTATGCACCCAACCCAATGTTAATTTCATAATTGGTCACCATCCACTTTATATAATGAAATGGATTCATTCGGTTAAAGTGAGCTAATTTTACAATAGCCTGGATTAATAACTTAATTAAAACATACTGCTGTTATGTTGTTTTATGTCTGTTTTCATTTGAATAATTTAATGATGAAGTTTGAAGCTTATTTCGTACGTAGAGTAGTCATAAATGATATACAATAAGTATAATGCGACAATTGTGCATCTTTAACATTTAAATAATATAAAATATACTCAGTTTAGTAGATATAGGATGTTTTTTTTGTAAAAGTTTCTTTAGGAAAGAATATGACCGTATATTTATAGTCTCTATGTTGTCGGTTTAAGGTATAAAAAATAATATGTTTTGTAAACAAATAATAATAAAAGAGCTTTAAATGTAAAGGAAATAAATCGAAATTGTCACAATTGACAAATTATGAAACAGTATATTGGAATCTTGCACAAAACCGAACGCGAAATGATGTTCGTTCCTACGTAAACTTCTTTTACGACTCAACTCGCGAATGAAAATGGCAATTGATGAAAACCATAAAATGACGGGCACAAAAGGCGTTCGATCGTGTGTGAAACGGCTTAAATCCGGTAACACAGTGCCGCGTAGGCGAATCAGAATCGAAGCGAAGTTTGAGATAAAATTGTAACGAGCTTAGTTCGTTCTTTCTTCGTTTTGGAGGTTAGAACGCTTTGCATTGCTTCCGCTACACGTTAGTAAATGTGTGTACCAATCTTTATGTGTTTGAAGGCCAAGATGAAACGAGCGATTTCTTTTTTTGCATTTGATGGTTAAGCTACAGTGTAATCTGGTGAATAGGATTCCGTGAATCAATACGAAAAAAACGCGTTATAAAATGAACTGTTAATTAAGTCGTAGGATTTGTTTTTTATTTCAATAAAATGGATAGTTCTGACAATACCATTTATGGTAAACTTACTTGTTAGCTTCATCAGAATTTATAAATATCTATTAAATTTATTTATTTCGTTCAATTACTTCTTACAGCCTAAATAGGAATATGTAAATCCTCATATTGCGAAAGACTGCGAAACAAATTTCTTATTTTACATTCTTGGTTACGCCATAGTTTGTAAAATCTGAAATATACACTTATTATGCGTACATTTAACATGTTTCTACATTTCATAAAACTAAGAGTTTCACTAAAACATTTACGTTTTCATCAAGAACAATTTGCCGCAGAGTTTCGTTTAATAAACTCTCCGGTATGGAAATTAAGGGCGCACCTGTGCTGGCAATATTCATTACGGCCGCTATCTAGAGCGTCGGCTGACCGAGCCTTGTAAACGGGCATTTCCACTACAAGAAAAAAACAACACAAAAACATTTGCTCTTTCTATTAATTACAATGAAATTGAAAGAGATAACAAATAACTTACATTACAGTAGTGGAAACGGACAGTATAATGTTATAAAGAATATCGTTGAGGGATCTTGTATTTTTTTTTAAACTTAAATAAAAACGGCTAAAACACTCACGGTGGCGGTACCGACTAGTTTCGATACCATCAGGGTGATTGCGACTGGTATTATTTCGCGGACGTCGCTCACACCGATGGGCTCGAAATTAGTCGAGACTAAAACACGACGAACAAACGTGAGTGTTTTAGCCGTTTTTATATAAGTTTATTATAATGCGTCGCGAAAGTTTTTTTTTTATGGAAGATGTTAGAAAATAGGCAAAAGTCATGGAATACTTCAGCCGTACTTACCATGGGTACTGTCGCCTCGAAGGCGGGGCCACGGAAGAAAGCTAAAGCGTTCCCGTGGCGCCCGCTATAATGCGTTAGTGGGCAGTCAGGTTTTAGTGGGTATTCCGGTCACCTTCTGGCCGGCGAGTCCCACACTCCCTACGCCATTGCACAGCCTGGCGTAGGCGTGCGTAAACGCATTTCCTGACTATAAAAAAAAGGGTACTGTCGCCTCTCTAATACACACATTATTTTTTTATAGTACTTTGTTATTTTAGCGCAAAGGAGATAAGATAAATAAAACAAATATATGTGAAAGGAATATTTTTATTTCACAGTGTTGACCTAACAGTGCATTCACAATATATGAGATACTAATTAATGTTACAGTTGAAGTTAAGATTTTTATAACATATAGTGTAGTATATAACATATAGTATAGTATATAATACATATGTTCTAAGTTACATACAATTTTGTTGTCTGACATTTACATAAAAGGCCGTGATCTTAGGCAAAGAATTGTTATATAACTAAGCTCTAATGATAGTAATATAAGAAAAATATCTGCACATAAGCTAATATTTATTTATTTTAAAATTTCTATGACTAGATTTTAAATTAGCTTACTAATATGATTTCTCTCATTACGTTCTTAATTATTGAAATATGAAAAAGTTTTTATGTTTCTAAATACATTTAAATGATTTTAATATTTTATTTGACTAGACTCAAACAATACAATAAAAAATTACAACCAACTAATGCTGAGGAAAATTGAATTAAATTCTTAATTAATGGAATGTTTATTGTTGAATTTAAACACTAATTTTTGTGCTATCTAGACAAGATTAAATTAAATAAAGTAATAAATAAATAAATTAATAATAAATTTTTACAATTTAATTATGACAACTAAATATATCGCTGAAGAAATTTATATATAAATATAATTTCTTAGCGAAATTTTCATGGAATTCTAGAACTTATTAATATGATTATAATGTCTACTTTAGAACATACGCTTTTTCAGATTATTTTATATAAATTATTCCTAATATTAACATTATACAGATACCTTAATTAGCGAATGACTAGTAACATAGTACTATATAATAGCAAAAACTACATAGTTAATAAACAGGATGAATTTCGTAAATAAAATCAAACTTTAAATAATATTCCATACAAATACTTAATACATTAGGCCTAATAGTACTTACAGACATTTAAAAATAAACACTTCAGTAAAGTGTCTAAAACCAAAGAGTAAATTTGTTCAGTGAATTTAGTTTAAGCAAATACAGGTGGGTGCTCAAGTGAAAAAGATTTAATTTATCTCCAAAAGAGTTAGTATAAAATGAAATTTAGAACATCCTGTAGAAATATGTATATTCCTATTAAAGCATTTATGAGGGATAATGGATTTTAAATCGACCTACAAAAGACTTAATTTTCATTGATAAAAATTTCCTAACATCAATGCACTACGACATACATTTTCGTTTTAAGCCAAAAATTCAAAACGTAACTTAGTCTAAAACTACGGCCAATCGCTTTATATCTATGTAAGTCGTAATTATCCCAGATTCAAATGTATTTACATTGTCTTAATAGCAAAATAGTAAAGCTTCATAATTTTAAAAGCTAACAGATTTCTCTCGTTCATTTTCAATCTAATAGTTAATTTCCACTGCTTATATATAAATAATCGTATCTATAAATCAAAGTTCTATCTCTATCCTTTCAAAGAGAATGACAGTGACAACAAAATATTCTTGTATAGTTTTGACGACAGTGGAAACTCACTGCTACTTTACACGTTACGTAAAATTATTACCTAAATGATTTTATTCAAATATACATCAAAGAAAGAGATATAATAAAAGCTAATATTGTGTATTCTCTACAACGATTTGTACCGAGTTGAAATTTGTGTACCTTAGGAGAACAATATTTAGTCATAAAGACTAGACAATTGTGACTAGAGTTGTATGATGAAAGTTTTGCATTTTTGAAAGTCAACAAAAACCTTTGACTGATGACTTAAACATGTCAATAATAAGAAAAAGATTTTTTATAAGAGAAGAGGGCAAATGAGGGGCGGAAACACCGAGGTGATCAACGACACCCATGGACATCTGCAACACCAGAGGAACTGCATATGCGTTACCGGCCTTTAAGGACATGGTATGGTATCTTTAAGGACCCTAAGTTTTTGATGTCATAAACTTAAGTGCTTTGAATAGATGTACATTTATGTTGTAATTTTATGACCGTGTTTTATATAAGTATATTAATAAATGCTATCATATAAAATAAATAAACGAGTTTTAATTAAAATAAAGTCGAACATATCTGTGTATGGTAATTATGCAGTTGAATATTTTGTCTCTATAAAACACAGAGTTCATGAAATAAAAAATATATTTATTAAAGTTTTTCATTATTCGGTTGGTTTAAGTACGGATGGATTGTGAAAAAGGATATAAGCGTAAGTGGGTGGTTTCAGATATAACGGCTGATAGAGATGTACGGAGTAGTGCATATTGTGCCGACCTTCCTTAGGGATATGTGCAGGTTTATATCGACGATTAACTTTCCATAGCTTAAGTTCCTCTAAACTGTTTATTTCACTTTTGTATGATATAAAAACACATTTTTGGTATTACTTTCATATTTAATCAGAATATTGAATCAATATAAATGTATGTATCTATCTACTTTAACATCTGGCGTCTGCGTTGAAATTGAGAACAAAGACGTCGAGTTTATTAATAATTCTGTCTATCAGAATGAAAGAAATCAATTTTCAATATTTTATATTAAAGGTAAAACGCTGGGAACTTATTAGATGAATTTCTTTTAAATATTAACTTCAGATGTAGAGCGTATTTACTTATAGTTATTATTTTATTCCTAATATATACCTTCTCTCTTAGTTTTAAATAAGTAATATCAAAGTTGTCTAAGCTAATGATTTCTGTATGAAATTATGTACAAAATGTTTCTCTACATTTTTGGTTGATCACTTTGTTGTCCGTCCGTCTGTCTGTCTAGACCCTATTTCTCAAAAACGCGTGAAGGTATCAACCTGAAATTTATAATAAATGTTCAGGTTTGCGGTCGCTAGATGCTGTGAAAAAATAAAACTTCTAAGCCAACACAATAAAAATACAACCGTTTATGTCGCAAATTTACGTAAATTTTCGACATTCGCAATGGAATCTAAACCTACAGGGTTCTTCCCGTGAACTTAGTTTAATTATCAGAAGAAAAAAAAGCAGCTAATGTAGAATATACTGTCGAATTACTTAAACTAAATATTTGTTTTCACTCTCATAATAAAAGCAATATATCTTAAACTAATTTTTATTTGAGAGAAAGTCACGATACGAATCTTATCATGATAGTTCTGCGATAGTCTATATGTTTAATATTGTTTTATCTTTGACTTAAGGACTTATTAAAACTGTTATTATCAACTAATTCTATACAAGCAGAGATCTTATTTCAATTAAAGAAATATTTATCGTGTGAGCAAATTCTTAAGCCATATTACGTGCTACTATTACGAATACTCAAATTGATTTCTACAGTATGTCGAAATTTTAATTACATATTAGTATGAGTATTTAAGGCATTATTTGAAACAGATTTAAAATGAAGCTATTTACAAATGATATTTTTAAGATATTCATTAATTCTATCCTGTTATAAATTAGGTAGGTTCTTCAGTATCGACGTGAACTGATTTCCCTTGTCCGATTCCGAAATCGATTAGAGCATCCTGTATGTGTTGTACCTGTTGAATAAATTTTCAACAAATGACAGAAGTTCTTGCAAACTTTATAGTATCTGTTCACCATGAAGACGCAGGCGCGGGCGCCGGCGATGTCGCGGGGTTGTGTTCACATTAGCAAGTAGGCGTTTATGCAATCGACCAGTTTAATTAGTTCCGCTATTTCGGCGTACACACTCCCATATAAAATATGTTTAATATTGTCTATAGCCAATCCACGCAACTGTTACTAGCTTGCATTCACCGTGGCCGCACCCGCGTTTTCAACATGAACATTTGCATACAACATCATATTTTTCAATGTTTGTCTATGTTCCACGACAATAGAATTCTACGAAACACAGGGTGTTTAATAAAGGTGTGATATGACATTAAAAACTTTACCTGCGAAGCGCTTGGGTCAGTCCCCGGATGCTTGTATCTATGCAGAAAGTAGCATGTTCCCGGGATATCCTTGGGGAACGAGTTGGGAAGGCAGGAACGATCTCGCGGCTCCATTTCGAAGCCGGGGAAATTTATGAGCCACCTGAGGGATAAATTCTTTGTTCAACTTTCATTCTTATACAATATTGGTTCGACAAAACTACTTCGGGTTATAAATTTCAATAACTTTAATGCAATCTTATTAAGATTTATAAGTATAGTTCTATTTATATTTTTATTGCGAGTAAACTAGAGCTTGATTATCCCAGCATGAATATTTGCGACTTCGTATCGTCATCGTCATTTATGAGAAAATTGATGTGAGATTTGAGGCGCATTTTACGCCTGTTCCACAAATTTTGTCGATGCCTATAGCCCTTGTCACAAATATTTGTGCTAGGCCTACTGATGTTAAGTGATAATGTGGGCGAATGATAGTACGCACACGCTTATTCAATGGATATTCACTATTAAAGACACCCTATATCTCTTTTAAGGTATTAATTCCGCATTGGGTTTGTATATTTTTGTGCATTTGAGAACCCAATTATAATTTAAATTGGGACAAACCTTCTAGAATGTTAATAAACAATTTACAGTCAAACTTAGTTATGCGCTTAACATTCTGCAAAGACCAGATCACATGCAATATGGTTGGCGTTTTACCCAAGTTATTTAACTTAAAGTAACTTCGACTTGACAATCTAAACGGTTCGAAACTAGTGTTGCGACCACAATGAATATCAAATTTAGGTTCCAAGTTATTCCAGTTCCAGTATGTACTCTGGTTTGTTGTATTATATTATTAAACATCTTTATTTAAGTATTATAAATTTTACTTTAGGAATCAATTATTGAGATGCAGTATGTCTTAAGTAATCTTACTAACATTATAAACGCGAATGTATGGATTGGTATCTCTAGAACGTCTGCATAGACCTCGCTGATATTTGGCATAGGTCCACACATCATCAGCTCACTATACGTCACCACCGAGCGGCTCGGAGCCCACCTTAAGGGTGATTAGGCCATAGTCAATCACGCTGGCCAAGTGCGGGTTGACTTCACACATATCTTTGAATTTCTTCTCAGATATGTGCAGGTTGCATCACGATGTTTTCCTTCACCGTAAGAACGTTGGATAATTGTACATATGTAAATCGGAAATCGAAAAACACATCGGTACATGGCGGGTTTCGAACCCAGGACCTGCAGATTGCAAGTCAAGTGCTTGACCCCTGAGCCACCGACGCTCGCTAGATCCACACACAGGCTACTAACTAAGTTAAGCTACCATTTTATCAAAATTACTCTTCTGAAAGAAATTTAAAAATGGTTTATGAAGAAACTTACTTGTATGTGGTAGGACTGACGTTTATCTTGAGTGGTTCCGATCCGGATTCGAACTTGTTAGCCAGAGTGACGTTATGTCCAAAGAGACAGTACTTTAACATTGTTTTTCCAACTACTCCAGCAAGCACTGTTCCAGTATGAAGACCTATGCGCATCTGTGAAATATTCATGGCTAAGTAGTCAATTGTAATATATATTTCGAACACCATTAATATGAAATTAAAGCTTTATTTTTATTGAGTTTTCACATAAAAATTAAACTTGGTAATAATATTGTTGTTATAAATTGAAAAAAAATAATGAGAAATTTTTATAAACTGATTAGAAACTGCTACAATTATGTATAGTGAGCCTAATGTCAGTACCGACTAGACCGAATCATCATGAGAAAATTAGTCAGTACCGACATCGGGCTTACTATAGGTAAGTTTAGCCGTTTTTACATAGCTCTTTGATGTTTGTTTAGTATTTTGTACCTTAATAGGATGACCTTCGTGTGTTAGATGTTGCGCACAAGTTTCGACCATACGTAGAGCCATCCAAGCGATCTGAGGAGCGTGCGTCTCTATCTTACGATGTAGACCACTGGCTACGCAATACGCGTCACCGATTGTTTCCACCTAAATGAAACAAGTTTGCAATTGTTGAATCAAGTTTGAGGATATTTATAAAATCGGTACAAAAGCAATTAAAATAAAAAAATGTTAAACAATCAATTTACGATCGTAGTCACTCAGATTTTTTTTTCTTTTACCTACTATTAACTAACTTCGATAGATATATTTCACTATCTGAATTTAGGGACAGACTTCAAAAATGTACAAAACTGACAATAACTTTCAATACGTCACGTAATCACGCGTCAGTTTCATACAATTTTAAAATTCGTTATGGAATCGCTTTGAAGAGAATGCACTTTGTCTATCCCCTTATCTGTTGAATATAAATATAAAGTCCTTACCTTGTACACGTCTAATTCTTCACAAAACACATCAAACACGCTGTATAAGTCTTCTAACATTGCAATAACCATCATAGGAGTTGCGGTCGCACAAATAGATGTAAAACCAACGATATCACTAAACAGCATTGTGACGTCATCGTGACTCTTCGCTTCGATCTTCTCTCCTGAAATATTAATCATTCCTGACCTTATCCCATTCACGTAGGGTCAGCGCACAAGGCTAAACCTTAAAGTTTTAGCTTATTTTTTTACGGCAAGCTGCCTATTGCCAACCCTAATATCATAAATAATATCCTAAAAATACGTTTCCATTGTCAAAAAGTCACACGATAAGATCGTTGCTCTCATTGGTTTTGAGAAATAGAGATAACAATATGTATTTGTACAATCAGTGTAAACTGATATATAAAAACGGCTAAACACTCACGTATATTCGTCCGGTGGCGGCACCGACTAGTTTCGAGCCCATCGGGGGCCTTTCATCAGGATGAGTGGTACTGGTATTATTTCGCGGACGCGGCCCGTCGCTCACTATGCTCACCGGACGAATATACGTGAGTGTTTAGCCGTGTTTATATATCAGTTTAGTATAATGTCTCACGAAAATTTGAATAATTTAACGTAGACCAAAATTACATAAGTTTAGTTCATTGATTATTTTTATACGTTCATTTAATTAAATGACTAACGATCACATTCAATTCAATAATAACTACGTATTGAACAATTTTTACTTATCCGATGTTTTTCTAATTAACGATTTAATCTTAATTTTAATTCCTAAGGTTTTAATTTAACTGTACTAAAGATCGCAATAGAAATCTTAAAACATCTATGGGACATATATAGGGCGAAGGAATAAATTTTTCTCTTGTAGCTAGTTTTTCTAAATGTAGTGCAGTTTTCTTAAAACAATTATAACTTACCCAACCATAATCGTTTCGCGATATGCGGTGGGAATATTAAATGCAATAAGCTGACATTCTTTTCACGTTCCTTATCCACCGCTTTACTTGCTTCTTCTATGGAGTTCTTTAATTTATCCATTCTTCTCCTTAGACCATCCTAAAAATAACATTCATGAAAAACTTTGACTTTTTTATTTGAAAAATAAAGACTAGTTATCATCTTACTTGGGCCCTTGCTTGTTCTCCAACTAAAATAACGTCTCTGGTTGCATCGTGCAATGGAATGTCAGATATAAAGAGGCCTCTGCCGGTGAGACCCTCAAGGCCGTCGAGGAATGGAGACCCGACGAACAATAGTGAATCTGACTCCGAACAAAACACCATCTGTCCTTTTATCTCGAGACCCTGTGGAAATAAGAACTGTTAAATTACGAATAAGTTACTTACCCCTTCCCACCCTTTTTATTAAGTTTTTTCAAACTAATTACTCTATCATACATGTATATCAGCCGTCAAACTCTCTCTTCATACGTAAATAATCATACTGTAAATTTATACTTTTTTAGAGAACGACCTTCAACCTTTGTATCAATCCTTATTGAATCAAGAATCTTCAGGAAGAACAAGGATTTTATATTAAGCCATCGCTTGACCACAATCTCAACTGACGTTAAATGATGTGGTCGAAAGATGGCTACCAGTATCATAGTAAATGCTTATATACAATACTTTTCAAGGCCACAACATCATACTTAGACGAAATAACTGACAGTGAAAAAGATGTTCCAATCGTAAATTTTAACGTGTTACATGTTTAGTTTTTTGCACTTATATATACATGAAATATTATAATAGTTCAACGAAATGTATAAGATAACTTCAGTGGATTAAACATAATACGATTCAAAGAAAAGTAGAACTACATCGTATGTACTTTATCACAAAAAAAAACAATCACTATACATACAAAGCTTTTACAATTTGGATGGTTTCCAAAATTAAAAAACCTCTGAGCCAAAATTCTACGAGAGAGAAACTTGGATGCTTTCTTCGAATACAATGTTCAATAATCTATATTACAGATGCCTTCCCCCTTTTCTTTTTAAGCTAGAAATACAAAGTTTACTATGACTATAACTATACGAAGGTACGATTTCTGTAGCGAAAAGAATCTTTTGAAAACAATGCAATGGTTGAAGCTATTCAAATTATAGGATGGGAAAGGTTACTAACTCCGTAAAAATTCGTTATGACATACACATTCAAAAGAGTTAATATGAATAAAATTTGTATAATCCTTCAGTAATGAAATAAATATTTTCTTATTTCCCGATATACACAAAAGTAACATAATATGTGAAAATATAAATTTTCTTTTCGTTACATTTACTTTAACCTCAACGGCTGTATTAATTATAAAGATAGATATTAATGTGTGAATAATTATAACATTAACTTGTTAGCGAAAAACGAAAATTTTTTTTTTATTTTTGTCCAAAACCACTTCAATGTGGCCTCGCGGGTCACGCTGTATACAATAATTCCATTAAAAAGCCACAGCGAGGTGTTGAATGAAAGTATGGCTTGTCGGACACATAGTCCGACACGGCAGCTAACGTGTTAACTGGTCGCAATGGCATAATTCAAGTTAAAAACTAAAATTTTTAATTTTAAATAATTTAATTTATACGCTATAATTACGAAGTCTATCGAACGCTGTAAATCTCATTCAATCTAGTATCGGTTGTTGCCAAATACTGTTACGTAATCAAACACAGTTAGAGGATCAACAAAGAGGGGCGTTTATTTACGTTGCCTAACAAATCTAAGTAACGAATTCAATCACTGCTTTTTATTCCACTTCAATATACAAGCACTAATTATAACGGTACAACACCAATCATTAATAACTCATTAACTTATAAATTACGATGAAAAATACCGTTTTCCTACAGAACTGATCTTAATTTGTTTAATATAAAAAATACTGATAACTTATACCTTTTTCCAAATAAAGGTTCGCGTCAATTAGACGTCGCCGGACGCATCGCTCGCACGCATTAAAAACGATGGAATGCGATGTGGGCGGCGCGGATGATGGACGCAGCGTTATATAAAAATCATATAAAGCAAACTTAAGTCCGTTGCGGGCCGTACGTACAGCGCGAGCAAATGAACTCGTACCTTTAGGATCCAATTGCTTTAGCTGAATAATTTTTTCGTGCTACCAGTAAGACTTATTAAAACTAAACAATTGTCGGAGCTTTCTAACGTAAAAAAAAACAAAAGCATTCGGAACTAACCCTACTATGTGTAAACAAATAACTTTGTCTATTTTAGAGGTCGTAATGTTGCTGGGTAAACTGCGTACAAAGGTCTGTATAAAACATAGAAGTGAACCGAAGCCCATCCCGTCACTGATAACAAAGGAAAGGATAAAAGATACGAAAACATTCTCTGTAATACAAAAGGAAATCCTTTATCAAAAGAGAGATCACCGATCTTCAAAAATTATATTAAAATACAAAAGAATATGAACATATCTTATTCCTTACTAATATTATAAATGAGAATGTTTAGATGTATGTTTGTTAGAAGCTATATTCGGAACGGCTAAACGGATCTTGATGAAATTTTACATACATATAGAATATAGTCAGAAAGAAAACATAGCTTATTAATTATGTTTTTTTTAATTCCGCGCGGACGGTGCTGCATGGATGAATGGATGTTTGTTTGAAGCTATCTTCGGAACGGCTCAACGGATCTTGATGAAATTTGGCATACATATGTAGAACATAGTCTGGAAGAACACATAGGATACTAAGTTTTATATGGGGACGCAGTCGCGAGCGACAGTTGGTTTGAAATAAATTCTCGGTCGATGAAGTGTATAAAATGTGTAAGTTTTTTTTAAATTGAAGAAATAAATTAGTCTCATTTGGATAGTAGTTTTCCCAACGTCTCTGTACGATCTCAACTTATTTAAAGTTAAAGCACCGGTTGTATAAGGATTTTATATTGCACACAATATCGTGGATAAATTTATTTCACTGTACTTTTTACTCGTTCTCTTTTGTATCATAAAAACCGTGCAACTTTTTGTCATTCGGTATATTAATATTCAATTGGAAAGTGGATACGTATCGGATTCGTATCCATAAATTGTAAAATATATCTATATCGTTATGGAGTGATATTTTCCAATTCTTTTAGAACAAAAGCATTTTTTGTAAAAATTTGCAATTCGGCAATGATGCTACTTTTAATAAATTAAGATAGTTTCAGGAAATAACTAAAGATGGTTGATAAAAACAAATATAAAATGAAAAAAATGACACGACTTTAAATTATCTTAATAAATATTATAGTATTTCACAGTATAAAGAATTACGTCCGTGTATGGTTAGCTTTACGTTTGACCTCAGTCTTATCGACCTTCCACTAAATTTGAACACGGACTAAGAATTTTTTCCAACATTTCACGCACGCGGGACTCATAACATAGGCAACGGTGATTTTGCATTTTTACATTTTTCTTACGATATAAATGTTAAGCAATATTCCTATTTTTTTTTTTACAATATAACCCCTCATTTTTTGCTATAACATTTAGACAATGATTATTAAAAAATAAATCATACTTTATATATATAATTCTCTTCATGTTAATCATTTTACATATACAATTAGTTGGAACAAAGTTATCACAATTCATGAACAATCACATTGAACATAATTACCTCTGCCAATGAAGTGGAGCCGGGAATTTTCAAGCAAAACATAAACGGTGTGTTGACTCGTTTTAAAATTTCACGAAAATCCAGTGACACGCCGCGGGGACGTAATAATCTGAAGTATGTTCCCAACGCGGAGCCATGTGTCGCCAAATACGTGCCAAATAATCTCATGAATCCGCCGCCTGTTGAAATAAAAAACAATGTTATAAAATTATATTTTTCTCCCATTGATACAAGTCTAATTCGTTAGCTAAAACACTTAGAATATATTAACTAACATATCACAAATATTAAAACAAATAAACTATCGTTTGACTACAATCATCTTCTATTAAAAAGCCATAGTCGAACGAATCATTCGATTACTCTCTATTGAGTTAACACGTCAATATACGAAAACACAGACAGCAATGTGTTCCATTCTCACCTTACCATGTATAATATGCTTACTTTAGTTAAACCCGTGTTATCCCTACGAAGAAAGTACATGCCAAACTTCCGGATAGCTTTTTTTCATATCATAAAGTGGTAAACGAGCTAGCGGCTACCTGAAGTCGCTAAAATAGCGAAGTGACCGTTGCCCATAGACATACACAATTGCATATGCGTTGCCGACCTTTAATCGACGGAGGAGAGGATGCACAGGAAGAAAATATTTTCCCTTTCCATGCATCCTCTCATTCGGAAAGTCCACTTCCACTTTCCATCCTTTCCTCATAAGAAAAAGGCTAGGAAGGGAAAGAGCTCTAAATTAGGCCTCCGGGACGCACACTCATCAGACGAAACGCGGAATTGCTTCCACTTCACGCCTGTCTTCTGTACGGTGGAAGTATTTCACCGGGCGAGCCGGGCCAATTCGTGCGAAGATGGTAAAGCGGGCTCTACCACTTTTATAGCTTTTGTTTCGTGGTAAAAGTTACCCTACAATATGTGTGAAACATTTTATGATGATCGAAAGACGTTACGCGGGGAAACATTCGCACAAAAGTATAAATTAGATTCTTCATTTGTTGAAACATGTTAAATAACCTAAAAAAAGAACATTATTGTCATGGTTTTGAGTGTATTAGATCGTTACAACTTGGTAAAAATGGCACAAAGATGTTCCCTACAAGATTCTTTACCCTCATTACGCAGAATGGCAATGTCATTTAGAGTATAACATCAACCAAAATGTTGCTTTCAAGGCGAAGACTTCAATTATTTTCGATGGAATCACTTATGTAATGGCAGTCTTTTTATATTATGTAACAAAAAGGTACATACCTATATTTATGAATATATTTTTGGACATTATTAGTTAGAATCATTAAGAGCGAATGGCGTGCGTGTTTACGAAGTCAAGTGTGATTGATCAGTAAGGGGACATAAACGTTGATATTTTAATAAGGCAAGTGTAGCGCCGATTCATCGGCACAGTGTCGGGTTTTCTTCCGAACAGTATATAACATAAGAAATATTATTTTAACTTTAACTGTATAATTTCTTATCTATAACAATTGTTTGATATTTTAAAAATGGTTTTCTATGTCCTTTTCTTTTGGAAAATAGTACCAACTAATATCTCGTTTTAATTTAATTCCGTCCAATATTAAATTCGAACACAATGCGGCATAAAAATATTTATTTTTTAATCCGGTATTCATAACGTACTGAACTCAACTTTGACTTTACTAAAATCTTTTTGTAAAACTTGTTTATATTTTTTTATTTGACACGAACAAATGAGTGTCGTATAATATTCATGTGAATGTCGGTGTTTGCGTGTTGTTGCGACAATGTAACGAAAAACAAAGTAATAAATTGCTTCAAGGTCAAGGTTCATTAGAGAACTTAAAGAAGTTTTCTTATGCAGTAGAAATTACGGCATCTTTATGTTTAACATTAAGCAATCTTGACTTGTATATACAGTAAAGAAAAAAATCGCTTTATGGAAGTATGCCTTTATATACAACTTTAAGCTATGTCTTAAAATTTAACGAAAATGCTCAGTGGAAATGCATTTAAGTTTTGGTTGTTAATTAGTATTGTCAATTTAGAATCTACCCAGAGCTTATATTATTACTATCTGTAGCCCGCGGTTCCGTTCGCGCCATATTAAAAAAAAAACTTAACAAGTAGCATATGTGTTCTTTCAGACTATGTTCTATATGTGCGTCAAATTTCATCAAAATCTGTTGAGCCGTCCCGAAGATACCTTCAAACATCCATCCATCCATCTAAACTTTTGCACATATATAGTAGAATAGTAAGATTAATAGTGACTTTATAACATATATCGTATTTTCCTTTGTATCGTTGTTGCCTTGGCAGACTATTCGATTTGACGATAGCATTAATATAAAATAAATTTGAATTAAAATGGATTTGTATTTCCATTTCGTTTTGATCTTCTCGTATAAAAACTCTCGACCATTAATCACAAAAGCCCAAGGCACAAGAAAAATGCTAATTCTAAGTGAAGTCGGAGCTAACGGGAATCCTCGAGGCGTTATGTTAATCCAATTTCGAGCAAATCGCTTGAGAAGCCGTTAATAATTATAGCTAATAGTAAAAAATTCTCGTAAAGTTAACGAGACTGACATAATGGCAACGTAAATATAGGAGTATATCAGACTAATAACAATATTAAAAATTTATAAAAAGCAAACGTTTGGATGGATGGATTTTTGTTTGGAAATTTGGCATAGATGTAGAACATATATTAAACATTGTCTGGAAGAACGCATAGGCTACTAAATAAGTTTTTTTATTAATTCCAACGGCTAGTACGAAAATATTTACTGCTCAATTAATTAATCTTTGCATTAAAATGTTTTGAAACTAACTTTGAGTGCGATTAAATATTTCCTCAAGAAGTCTAACAGCGCTTGCTAAGTAAGGAAGTAATTTAGATAGCAATGTACTCACCTAATTGCACAAGTTCTAGTCGTTTGTCTGTAACGAAATGCCAAGGGAAGGCTTTACAGAAACTCGCAACACCAATCCTCAAATCTGTTACTTTGCTGGACGATGCGACGCAGGCGCTGTCACCTGTCACTTCACTATTCTCCCCGGTAGGTTTTTGTTGCAATGGAATCGCTTTGATTTCATATCTGCAAAGAGAATCGTGATGAGTTTTGCTGTCTTTTCTTACTAACAGATTAATTACACAATAATTTCAATGAATTTACAGGTCACAATGTAACTAACATACATAAATACATACGCGAGAAAAAACAAACGAACAACATTTAGACAATTTGCAATGTAAAAGACTCTTGGCGTAACAATGTTCGTAACTCGTCATTGACGCTGGCAGAGCGAGGGGGGAGGGCGAGGCTGTTTTCTCGTTTTAGAGTTAAGTACAGCAATTTAGCGAGGAAATGCAGCCAGTGTTCTTGGCTCTTTACAGCGAAAAATGATTGTTTGTGAAATACTTTAATATTTAGTATATTTCTAATAGTTTATGTTACGAACTTATTTAAAAAAGTACTTATTTTGATGAAATTAATAACACAAAGTAGTGAAATAAATTCCAGTGAGATATTTGCTGCCTTAGCTGTTATGTAACACGAAAATATCACGATCATGTTTGAAACAAAATTGATGACTCACTGCCTCTACATATAACAGTGTTATTCCACTGCCAAAACACATGTATCAAACCATATTGTTATCTCTTTCTTTATCTTTCACAAAAATGAGACTAAAACATATATCAACGCTAGTGTCACGGTACTGGAAACCCATAGTAAGCGTATGCGATGTATGACAATTACTTTTTTGTACAGTCAGCTGCATAAATATGTATACAATTACAAATATTCAAAAACTTGTATACGAATTCAGTTTCAAAAGTATGTATGCACGTATCTGTACGTATACTTGCGACCAAGACTACGTGTTTATTTAGACCGAAGGCGTATACAGTTTCATGAGCTTTGTTAATGTATGTTGCAGCTAACTGTACTACTGCAATGATAGTAAACATAATCAAAAGCTATACAAACTTGAATCTCCTCGGATCGTTCGTGTAACTCATCAGTCTTATGTCAGCTTGAGTGTCGTAGAGACGTCTCGCAATCGCTTTAAGACTACCCACTAATAAATAAGCGACGGGCTCGCATTCTGTTGTCAGATACAACTCGATTTTCCCTCTTGATGTTGTGCAAACAAATGCAGCTTCGTATTCCACTGTCTCATCTTTGAGGACATCATCCTAAAGGAATAATAATATATATATTAACGTTACAATAATCAACTCATTACAATGACTGTATTACCGATGAATCCATACAATGTCCTTAATAGCATAATGCAGGCAACACACATTAGGTTTTGCATCAAGTTTTCAACCTACCAAGCGTAATCGACAGGCATTACAGAGTTTCATTGTACACATTAATTACAGTTTAGTCACGCACATGCTAGAGTTTGTTTTTGCATGTTAGGTCAAAAACGTCACGCAAACAATGCATAATGTGGCCTGCATTATTTAATTACTTACAATTAGCATGTTTTTTATTCTGTTATTAGTAAGATTATGTATTGTAGAGTTTATTAGATGAAATAATTAAGACTTGTTATTTCTTTTGGAGCGTCGGTGGCTCAGTAGTCAAGCACTTGACTTGCAATCTGCAGGTCCTGGGTTCGAATCCCGCCATGTACCAATGTGTTTTTCGATTTCCGATTTACATATATACATTTTATCCGACGTTCTTACGGTGAAGGAAAACATCGTGAAGCAACCTGCACATATCTGAGAAGTAATTCAAAGATATGTGTAAAGTCAACCAACCCGCACTTGGCCAGTGTGGTTGACTATGGCCTAATCACCCTTAACTTAGGGTAGGCTCCGAGCCCCTCGGTGGGGGCGTATAGTGAGCTGATCATGATGATGATGATTTCCTTTTCGTACCTGATCGTGTAAAACGTCATGTACACTGTCTAATGTCGTTAAAAACTCGGTTAAATTCGTTCCAAGACATTTGAACGCTCTCTCCAACCGGCAGTTATGTGAGAACGCAGTTAATATTAGGTATTCTCCTAATTTTGCCATAAAATCTTCCGTATTCAAACCTGTTGGGATAACAAAGGAGTATTTGTAGAAGTATTTAATTAAAAAAAACTGTATGAAAATGGACTCGAAAAAAAAATTATGATCGACCAATTTGCTACCATAAAGGTGGTATAATTTTGCGATGCGTCAAACAAAAGAGTCTAACACTTCACAAGACAATATGATATTTAATCATTGTTGAATAAAGCCATTCATTTTCTCAATATAGCCCTCGCTATAATGCAGTTATTATATACAATTATGAGGTCATAGATATGTATATCATTATATGGTAATGTGGAATGCCTTATATTGCGCATTCAAATATATTTATTCTCAACTTGAGTAGAATATTAAATTTTGAGGATAAAATTAAGAATTAATTGATTTTTTTTATGATTTTTTTCCTTGTTCATTCATACATAATATTGGCATAATCATACCACCGCGATTGACAGATTCTGACAGGATTATAAAACTCAAGCTAATATCAGTCTGATTAACTTTTAGATAGCTCAGCTAGTTTCTCTTTAATCCAACAGCAAGTGTTGGACATCTTCTGCCTTTCTGCATGTCTGATAATTAGGGAACATGGTTTTTCTCATCAGATATCCAAAGTTTGCTGTTTGGTCGTGGTTAATAAGTGATGTTATTAAGTTTGGTTTAAATCTTAAATTTCACTTACTGTCAGTTGCGCGGACAGCATCATATATTTCTTCTAAATACGCATAATTTCTCCATGTTTTTACGTCGTCTGGCAATCTTCGTCTGTATAAAATGGAGCTGTTTATTAATTAACAGCTAAATTAAGAGGAATTTGTTATAATAATTAATTAGTGTATGTACATGTAAATGTATGAAGAATCAATATTAAGTCTTAATAAAAAAACTTTTAATCTTACTTACTCTATGACGTTTTCTTAAAATTAAACATACTCTATGACGGAAAATGGAACACGATGTACAATGATGAAGTAACAGAGTAGAAATAATTATTCAATAAAGAAAAAGTAAATAATATTTAAACAGTCGTCAAATTTCGTTTTCTCAGTATTTAGTATTTGAATGTATTTCTTAAGTATTTAGTACATGTAAGGTACTTACAAACAGTTGTATTTGTCATAATGCTCCGCCTGATTCTTCGTTAATGCAGTGACTGCAGCGTGGAGACATTCATTCTAAATAAAACGTTGCAAGTTGAATTTTATAATTTGTTCATATCACTTTTATTCATATGTTTGCAAAATCGATCTTATCACAATAACAATAGAGAAAACAACGTTATATCTTACTTCTAACTAATATTATAATTACGCTTGTTTGTAAGGATGGATGTTTGTTAGAAGGTATCGCCAGGAAGAGTGCATGGATCACAATGAAATTTGGCATTGATGTAGGCCATAGATTTTTTTATTCCATGCGGATGGAATCGGGAGCGACAGCTTTTAAATTATTAAATATTCATATTTATTGCAGATAAATTTTCTATGCGTAAGTGTACCAACATTAAAAATATTATTCAACTGGTGGTTACCACCGTAATTGTAAGCAAACATTTCATAAAAGATAAAACTAAAGAATAGTTTTTATTTCAGTAAATTAGAATTATTCGTTCATAAAATCTATATTGTGAGATATTTATTTTCTAAGCAAAAAACAAAAATCGTATAAAATTTTGGCTAAGTTCGCGTTAGGCATCACGTAAAAACTTTTGGAGGCTCGCCAAATATAAAAAGGGTCTGCTATACGTAATTGGATCACGTCCGAGCGTTTGGTCTGTTCTACCTAATATTTTAAATTTAATAAACAGTGGTATTGAACAATTTTCAATATTATGCTTCGCCACTTTTACTGTGAAACATTTTATTATCTAACTTCGCTCAAACAGTGTCCTTTAGTGGTTACTATAAGTAATCTAACATAAATATTACCCTTAATTAGCCACTAAGGATTGTGCATCCCTGTAGCCTTATTTAAATCCTCTTTTCCTTTCCACCCTTTCTCTTATAAGGAAAGGATGGAGAACGTGGATTTTCTGGAAGAGGGGATGATGCGTCGATCAAAGGTAAGTAGCGCATCTGTAATTGCGTATGTCTATGGGCAATGTCCTCTTCCCTATTTCAGCGATTTCTGGAGGCCGCTCTCTCGTTTGCTTATGATACGAACTAATGATTTTAAAAAAGGAACTCTATTCTTATAGTGTGGATTGAGTATTAAAAATCTTCGTAATAAGTAATGTAATTTATTTTTAACATAACAATTTATTTATGCAATCGTCTAATACATTTGTCGTCTACTATAAAGATCAAAGGCAGAAGTAATCCAATGAACATAGAATTGAGAGGATTTACCAGTCTTCGTGCCTCGGTACAGAAGCCGTAGAAATACATCGCTCTGTCACCGGCTCAACGAGAATAAAATAAATTTATTTAATGTTAAAAATATATGAATTTATAATATCAAATGTAGTGATATCTATTTGGCTATACAGTTGTCTGTGCCAAGATTTTCTTGGATTATCGATTTAGGGATTTTGGCATTCTTTATTACTATGTTACAGAACCAAACTGAATAATGATGGTAGAATCGTTGCTTTGTTATGACAGTTTCAGTACAATCTAATAATGATTTCATTTAACTTCGCCAACTTAAACAATCTTACTTATATTATAAACGCGAATGTTTAGATGGATGGATGAATGTTTGTTTGAAGGTATCTCTAGAATGGCTGAACATATTGAGATGATATTTGGCATACATATAGAACATAGTCTGGAGGAACACATAGGCTATTTATTATGTTTTTTATCCACGCGGAAGGAGTAGACAGTTAGTTTAATTATACTCTTTAAACGATATGGACGCCTAATTTTGTGAATAAAGATGTAACATCGTTAGTTTAAACAAGATCTTCTTTAATAATGTAATGTTGGCAGCAACGTGACCCGTACTTTTAGTACATGACCTGAATACATTACTGTCAATATAAACTACAATATAAATGAAATAGAATGTGTTTTATTGTATTGTTTAGTGTTCATTGATGTCAGTGAACGTGTGCGACCATTACTCACGAGTACGTTTCGGTCCGCGACTCCTTCCGTGAATTATTAAAATTACATATGTGTTCTTCCATGTTATGTTCTACATCTATGCAAAATTTCAGCAAGATTCATGAATCCGTTCTGAAGATATTCTCTAACAAACTTTCATCTGTACATCCAAACATTCGCATTTATAATATTACTACGATTAAGACGGTGCTTAGTTAGTTTTTTTTATAAAAAAAATTGGATATTTTCATTGTATATTATTCCTTCTTCGTACAATTTCTAAGATTCACGTATTTATATGTGTTTATTAGATGGATGGATGGAAGTTTTTTTGAAGGTATCACTAAAACGGCTGAACAGATCTTGATGAAATTTGACATACATATACAAGAAGAGAATATAGTCTGGAAGAACACATATGCTACTAATTATGTTTGATTTAATCCTGCGCGGACGGAGTCGCGGGCGACATCTAGTTAGTCAATAAATATAAGAAATAATATTTATGAGCTTAGCTTACGTAGTTTTGAATCTAAATGCATTTCATGTCGGTTATCAATTAGACAGATATGACAGGCAGCTATAATTCATCGCTTAAGCTTCCCAAAATATCTTTGGTGCTCAGTTTACGTCCGATTCTAAATTTAGAAATCCTTAATCTAGAACAAGAAGGACATAAAACAATTAAATTAAAAGTAATTTATCAGGCTGTATTATTGACATTTAAATCTTACTATCATGCTAATATTAAAAATGCAACGTTTAGATGGATGGATGGATGTTTGTTAGAAGGTATCTCCAGAACGCCTAAACGGATACCGCTGAAATTTGGCATACATGTTGAGCATAGTCTGGAAGAAAACATAGGCTACTAATTTTTTTAGTTCCGCACGGACGCAGTACGGGCGACAGCTAGTACTTTAATAGTAATAACAAAATAGAACGATTTAAAAATAGAATGAACACATTTTTGTAATAATGAAACTTCTATATTCTTACCTACTCTTTGTTCTTTCGTCTATGGTATCACCTTTTTCGTAACTCAACACCTTAAGTGATCGAACTGAGGGATTATGTTACAAAAGAGACGAAGGGGCTTTGAAGAAAAGTAAAAAGGCTCCTGTGTCAAAACATATCCGATGTCTAATGGCCCGGATATATTGACACAGTAAATGATTTCTTGCGAACTGTGATACGAAGTGGGATCGACTTAATTTATCCAAGTATTAAGCTTATGTTACTTTTTTTGTCTTTATAGAATTATCTTTCATGTCTGGATAACGATTAGTATATAACTAGTACATACTATCCCTGTTATGTACCTTAGATTAAACGAATAAATCATTCTCCCAAAAGGAATTGTTGTTCATTAAAATAGAAGCTCATTAAAATAAAAGTTATCAATGTATTAACAATTACGTTTTCAAAGTACTATAAAGCGCCTTTTTCGTGATTCCGTTACCCGCCGTTTTAAAATTCACGGGTGATATGTTTTGACTAATTTCCGCATTCGCACTAAAATATTTGCGGTTTCCGATATCATATTCATACTAAATAAGTGTATTCTATTATTGTTACAGCGGTTTTTACTTGCTGTTTATTTGCACACAGCCTAGTAAACATTGGCTCGTAAATATATTCAATTATCTCTTTTTGCGAGATCTTGGAACGCAACCCCATAGTTTCATACAAGTTGCATCCCAAAATGCGATTCTTTGATCGTAACAAATTTTCGGAAATTCACCCCCGCTAATAGCGAGATTGAGCCCAGCGTGTTTCTTTTATTTTCTTTTACAAGCAACTTTTGACTTATAAGAGAAACATGTTTTCTGAAGTAAATACTAATATTATAAATGCCAATGTTTGGACGGATGGGTGTTTGTTTTAAGGTATCTCGAAAACTGCTTTATGGATATCGCTGAAATTTGGCATAGATGTAGAACATAGTCTAGAAGAACGCATACGATACTTATTTAGTTTTTTTTAAATCCTGCGCGGATGGAGTTGCTATAGCTAGTATAATATTCCTTATAGATATAATTTCACTTTCTTCTAAAGAAAAAAGTTACTGATTATTATTTTTTTCTAACAAATCAATTCACTTTATCCCCAAAATTTCCTTCAAATTATTTCATATTAATTAAAGGCTGCCGATGTGAAATAACGAAGCGAACCTGCTATTTAGAAATGATCGTTTTATTGCGTGAAAGCAATTATGCTTCACAAAGGTCGTACTTTGTTTGAAGTTTCGGTACAAAACAAATTAATATCGGACCGTTGTAAATACAATAAATCATTAAAAGTTATTCAGAATATTAATTAAATCTACGATTGCCTGAAATACGGAAAGTTATGATCTGACAGTGATTTAAGGAAGAGTTAAATATATTTTTGTTGAAAGTTGCATTTAATTTTGTTAATCTTATATTTGAAATTTTCATGGCACAATATTAGTTACCATACTCCTCCGAAATAAGATGACCGATTTTAATGTTATATGCACATTCAGTAGTTCTAATAATCGACTAATATCTATTTTTTCACCCTTCACGGATGGAGTCGCAGGCAACAGATAGTGTGAGATAAAGTAACTTATTATAATATTAATATTAGGCGGTTGACATGACTACATCTTTAAAAAAAACCTTAATTAGTAGTCTTCATCTAGATCTACATAGCTATTCTATATTTAAGTATCCGTTCAAACTTTTGCATCTATATAAAAATCAATTGCTGTTCGTTAGTCTTGCTAAAACTTGAGAAAGGCTGAACTTATCTTGGTGTTGAAATGCTCGTGGTGGTAAAGGAAAGGTTTCAAATTTAAGTAAAATTCAAATAATTGCCGGGTAAAACCCATTAAAGACCTTTTATTTTTTCCATATTTGAGGCAGTACGAAGTCTGCTGGGTCAGCTTCTTTATAATAATTTTATTACGATGTTGACATTAAAAAGTAAGTTTTTTTGGTGTAAAAATCAAATGCTATCAGCATCTTACTTCATATGTATCAGTTACTGAAGTACTAAAATTTCCAGGAATTATTTATATATTTTCAATTTCGGCACATAACCGTATTATATAAACACGTCGAATAATAAACAGGTCGTGTTTGTAGCGTAGCAAATATGTTTATATCAAGTTCATGTTAAATCTATTTTCAAAGGCGTAAGCACCGGAAGTGAGATATAAGGGGCAGCATAACTCATACGCATTATTGACTCAAGAAGTACATTAAATATTCGTTTAGACTGGATTATAAAATTTTTATGTCAATAAAATATGTATACACTAGTATTAAAAACATACTCTCCGGTTTTTATGATATAGTAATTTTAAAAATTTGTTAAAATAACTCAACTATTAAATCAACACAAATATTTCATATATGGTACACAAAAAAATGTTTTCTTACGGTGGGTTTCTGAGACTTATTTTGTCAAATGTATTCAGTGAGATATTTGGGCCTTAGAAACCTACGCTTAATTTAATTGTTAAAGGAATTTATTTTGGTTATGCCTTTAGCAGAATAATTCGACTCTAGAAAATATAGTGGGTAGACAGAGATTAATAATTTCCTTTTATTATGTTACTAAAACTGTACATTCTCAGCCCCATGAGTAGCGTCAAGTATTCTTACTTAGTAAAAAGGCTTTGTCTTCACTTCAAAATTAAAGTCGAAAGTTTGCTAATATAAACCAGGAAACATGTTGCGAAAACTTAAACAACTGTTGCTAACTTGAAGTAATTTTCCCATCAAAAGTTATCAGTACGCGTAACGATGTTGTAAGCTTAGGTGTAACTTAGATGTAAGCACACATTGTGCGTGTAATAAACTTATCAATTAGTTTCAGTCCTGTTAACATAAACTCTACTCATATTAAAGGATAAACATATTCATTTTTGCCTTCAATATGAAAGATATTTGGAACGTATTTTTGAAATATCGTGTGATAATAGTATTGGAATTCACTTTGTCGAGTAGACCGTATAGATTGTTACCGCTTAAGTGATACTAAGCGATTTTTTATTACTAACTGTAGCTCAGAAACCGTGAATATACAAATATATGAATTTAAATGTCAATGCATTTTTTTAATACCCGACGTAATACACCCTGTGACCCTAACAGAATATTATTAATAAAAAAATATTGACACATAAAAGATGACAATTTAATTAGTATAAATACTCATTATTACTTTTTTTCTGCATGTCTATTTTTTTTTTATTTCAAAGAATTAATGTCAAATAACATGTACAAGTTTTGTCAACAATAAAATTTAACTGCGCGCTATCAAATCCATATTAAACAACACTATTGTTCTATCTTTATGCGGACTCATAAAGAATGTCTCGAATAAAATTGACGATCCTCCAGGGATACAATAGCGTCATAAATTCCGAAGGGGGAAGAGGGAATCACAAACCATATTTCCGAAGATTCACGGAAGTATTTGGATCATAAAATGTTTCGCAGAATTATTAGAAATACAATAAACAAATTAATATTGTCAGTTATATGACATATATTATTGTAGATATCATTTTCAATAGTCGAAAATATTATATCAACAAGTAAATAATTCCAAGACAAAAAATAATTTATTCTTAAAAACAATTTCTAAAATTCTTGGTATTTCAAAGATGGAATTTTAGGAACAAAATTTAAGTATTTCCTTGACAACGCTTTTGATAAAAATACCAAGATAAAAATATTCAGATGCTTTATATTTTTAAATAATCTCACATCTGAAGAATAAAAGTTTTAAGTCATTGGTCAGTAACTAGTTAATTTACCCTATAAAACTGAAATCAGTTATAGGGTAAATACCCTGGTTATTGGTCTTAAAAATAGAGTTCTAATTATTTAACTTACCGATGGCGCAGTTAATAGTTGTAAAGCTTCGCTTAAATTCTTCAACGTAAGTGTATTCCTTTCTCCATCATCTTCATCTGGCCCAGGAAGATGTATGGAAGATTGTCGAGAACGCAGCTCAGGCTTTTTACTGCTCGCCCCATTCGCGAACTGCTGTTGGGATGACGCTCGACGAAACGGACACGTCATCTTTGCGATTGTGAGGTCTGGTGTATGTCAAGTCATAATAATATAGTTTTTATTGGATGTTTGATAAAGTGTGCGGAACCTGAAACAAAAGAATCGCGGTTATTTTTCATAGAACTTAGGATAACCATAAACAATACGAAACTCATTAAAATACACCTATTTATATGGGTCTAGAATAACATTTAATGTTACACAAAGGTAAAATAAATAATGACATACAGAGGTATAATATGCTTACCGTGGGTTTCTAAGACTAAAGAGAATGGCGTGATTTATAAACAGATTTTGGTCTCGGAAACCCACGGTTAATATGTCGCATATAAAGCATAAGATCGTAAAACTCTGACGCACTTTATTTTATAAGAAACTGTTAATTTAAAATAGTTCTATACTATAAAATAGTTACAAGGTCATCGTAACCTTTTTAGTGTGTTATAATCTTACAAAAGAAAAAAAAAATTAAAGATGTTCTTAATAAAGATGAATTTCATTCAGCGTTATATTCATTTATGACATAAATAAATATACGGTCTTTTAAGAAAAAATGTAATTAAAATAATCGCTAAGAGAAACATCGCAACATCCAAGGTTACAAACACTAAACAAATCAATTAACGCGCTAACTATAATCAAAGCAGATAAAGTGTTAATCTAAATCAGTTTCTAAGTGGTTTAATGGTTTATGAAAAATGTTTGAATGTTTTTTTGTAGACGTATGTGATTTATGATGTAATAATAATTAAATAAATTAAACTTATATAATAGCTTACTTAAAAAAAACTGCAACATAAAACTAATTATTTTGTGATTGACTTTTGTTTTAATATATGTCCACTAAGATTAAGATAAATAAGAAAATTGGTCTATGTCTCTATTTCAATTGGTTACAATATATTCAGTCATCAAATGTAAAGGCAGCAAAGGAAACTACCTCGACGCAAGTGCTTCTGGAAGGTTCCAATGTTCATTGCAAAGTGAAACTTTGCCTTGCAGAATGCAGGAGATGCTAAATTTTGACGGAGACATTTTAAATTAATTTAAGTTCTTGCAAGGTGAGAGCTGTGAATTCAGCAAAATAGTTGATCTATAATATTATTATTTTATGTACTCGTTTTTAGAATTTACTGCTTTATTTTAATCTCTATTTAGTAAGTAACATACTCTAAATATTATCAACTTGCTGTATGTACTACTTCTCCATATATCTCTATCAGCCGTCATATCTGAATCCATACCTTTCTTAAACATATCCTCTTTTACACATCATCATCAGCTCACTGTACCCCACCGAGGGGCTCGGAGCCTACCCTAAGTTAAGGGTGATTAGGCCGTAGTCAACCACGGTGGCCAAGTGCGGGTTGGTTGACTTAACACATATCTTTGAATTTCTTCTCAGATTTGTTCAGGTTGCATCACGATGTTTTCCTTCACCGTAAACGTCAGTTAAATGTACATATGTAAATCGGAAATGGTAAAAACACATTTGTACATGGCGGGATTCGAACCCAGGACCTGCAGATTGCAAGTCAAGTGCTTGACCCCTGAGCCACTGACGCTGTTAACTTTCACACAATCCATCAATACTTTCTTTGGTCTTCCTCTACCAACACAAATTAAAAACAAAACTTCTTTCTTTAATTTTTAACAAAATTTCTTCTTTTGTTTAATATTTGTTTCACATTAACATTTTCATTTTTAAACGGTCGAATTTCTAATATAATTTTAAAATTACTCGTCACATACTAGCTTAATAATAAACGGCATATTCTAGTGATGAAACCTAACGTTTTAAATCCATCTAAGTAATTCCATTAAGGTAAGTGTTCAAGAATAGTTCGAACAAGAATAGCCTCCGAGGTCGTAAGTAAAATCGACCTCTTTGAGACCTTAGTGAGTTTAATAACCAAGGAATGCTATTCATTTCCTTGATATTGCGTAGTAAACTATATAGAAAATCCATTACGCCCGAGTTCTGGGATGCAATGGAATTCATCGTGAGCGTACCAGTTTTATGGATATGTACAATAAAAACTTATCTATTCTTACACTTGCTACACTTACGAACTGTAATTTTAATCTATGAAAAACTAGCTGTCGCCCGCGACTACGTCCGCACGGAATTAAAAAATTAGTAGTACCATGTGTTCTTTCGTTGTTCTACATGTGTGTCAAATTTCATCAAAATCCGTTGAACAGTTCTGGAGATAACTTCAAACAAACATCCATCCATCTAAACATTCGCATTTAATATTATAATAGTAAGATATGACGTAATCAGTCAATAGTATAAACAGGCATTTTTCTTTTACATTAATTCTCAAATCTCAATGTGAATATACTTTTAAATTCTCTAAATACTTTCTTATTCAATAAATTTTCTTTGTCACTTTTTTTTCTTTTTCTTTGAATGTTGGGAACATTTATGCAAGTTCATTCCACGCAAGCATCACGTAATTGTGCCCACGTAGACTCCGACTAAAAGTAGTGAGCTCTTATAAATATACATTTTAATACAAACATTTTTAGCGATACAGTTTTCTCAATCAATGTTTGAAGTGTGTTAACCGGGGCGGACTTGAAATAAGTCCATCCGCGCGCAAAATTAACTCGGCAACGTCTTCGTAATATAAATCATGAGCTATTCCTGTTATATTCGAAAATAGCTTTCGTAACCACAGACATTTGTAAACTATGATAGACAAATAATTATAAATGTATCAATGCGAATGCATTCTTAAACTAACATATGCTAAAATTTATCGATAGTACACTTAAATGCATACTTAATAGAGTTCATTTTTGTACATCATCATCCTATTCTTTTCCCTAAAGATATGTTCTACTCTTTCATACATTTATTTTACATCTTTCATTTTTTTCATTTCAACAGTCATATTTGAATTCCATTCCGCTACTTGTTTTGGTACTGAGCAGTCACTGTTTGTCTTGAAGAGGAATTAACAGACCGGGCTTGAGGTGGCCGAGCGCAGATAGCGCTTAGCCTGAACCTCGTTTAAGAGTAACAAGACTCGAGGGCTCGCTCAGGAGCCTCGGCTCCGGCTCTTACTTCGTTATTGTTACCGGATTGGGAGGTCATCGAGCTCTTCCCCTTCCCCTTCTAGTACATGTCCCCTTTTTTACATCGTCAACCTGCCCTTGTCCCTTATGAGGGTCGGCACAGTATGTACTACTCCTCCATACATCTCTATCAGCTGTCATGTCTCAATTCACCCTCTTACGCATATCTTCTTTCACACAATCCATCCATATTTTCTTTAGTATTCTTCTACCTTTGTATCCACATTCAATCTCATTACTTTCAGGCACTTTTATTTTCTTTCATATAATGCATCCATACTTTCTTTCGTCTTCCTTTACTTTGTAGTTTGTTAAATATTATTTACGTATTTCACATAACAATTGGGCTGTCTTATATCACCTTAATACTGACATGACATCAAAAACTTGGAGGTGAAAAAGGATAGGACGCATAATTAATATCATACTAATAACACAAATATTATATATGCATTTGTTTGTTAGAAGCTATCTCCATAACGGCTCAACGATTCAAGGTCATATTTGTCATAGATATAGAACAAAGTCTGGAAGAAAACATAGGCTACTAATTCGATTTATTTTTAATTCCACGCTGACGGATTCACAGACGACAACTAGTGTAACTAAATGAGTTTTCGTATCATTTGTTTATGGTAGCTATATAAAAAATTTGTGTACATTGAAATGTAAACTAATCTTAAAAATAATCTAAAAAACGATACTTTATTATTTTCATTTATAAACAACTAATCAAAGATGAATGATGTTTCATTACGTTTGAATTGATAATGTCTTTCATCAGTTACTGTTTTTTATATAATAGCTTTCTTAAGCTTCTGTTTAGTAAACTTTAAAAGTATTCCAAAGAAGTTTGTAAACAACGCCTCTGTTAATTCAAATCAAGGTTCTTGAACTGATTCTAGCTAGTTGTTAGGTTCTTCTGAATATTGAAGATTCTAATTTAAGCAAAAGTCTTATTATGTTAGAAAAAATGTGACAAGATTTAATTATTAAAAATTATGAAGAATTATTTTTGTCTCGTATTTTTGGTGACTAAAAATATGAAAACTTACAATCTAATTCCATATTTTAAGTAGTTGTCTACTCTATATGGGTTCTGCACAACCGGTTCTCATATAACGAATTTTAGCCGTTCCTTTATTCTTAAACGTTATTACAGGTCAAGGTTTTGTTTTAAGCGAACCTCTATGATCTTCCAGACTATGTTCTATATGTGTGCCAAATTTCATCAAGTGCCGTTAAGCCGTTCTGTAGATACCTCCAAACAAACATCCATCCATCTAAACATTCGCATTTATAATATTATATATGCATTTATTCGTAAAAAAGTTAGATAATTGCTCAAACATATTGCTTATTATATTTGTATTAGATTATGGCTTGTTATATTAAACATGATTCCTAACATATACGGCAATTGGTTACCGCAGAAGACACATTAATTTGCGCTTAATATGAAGTATTTATCATAAACGGATTCTTTTGTACCTTCGTCTACAAATAAGTAAAAAAAATAAACAACTTTTATTTCAGTGTTCCTCACCACACTATAGTATACTAAAAAGAGTACACGAAAGTAGAATAAGCATGCATAGTATGTTGAAACCTCACACACGTCGGCAGCAGACAACATAAACAATAATCCTATTAACATTTCCGTAACGTTGAATAATTTATGTGTTCTTTTGTAATCCTTGAATGAATGATGAATGATAAATGACGAGGGGAATGAAATATAACCGCATTGCGACTTAACTGAACGTCAAAAGCACTTTAAAACAATACGCGTGATCTGTAGGATTCGTATTCCTTAATATGTTATATCATTTTATCTACGCTTTCATTCAGAATATTACGATTATGATTTAATATTTTATCGTCATCGTTATGGACCCCTAAAATACTTTAGGATCCAAAGGAGACTTTATCCGAGAACGGCTAAGGCACCTGACTCGACCCAACTTAATTACTTTTTATATTAACAGGTG